ATTTGATATAATCTTCTATTTGTAGATATTGATAGACTTGATTTAAACACTATTTGATCATAAACTTCACCCTCCTCTTGTATTTTTAAACAGTGTGGAGCGTGCTGGGCTTTCAGTGTGGTAGGTGCAGTGGAATCTGCTTATGCAATCAAAGGTAATCCCTTGGAAGACCTGAGTGTACAGCAGGTCATTGATTGTTCCTATAATAATTATGGCTGCCATGGAGGGTCTACACTCAGTGCTTTGGACTGGTTAAATAAGGTAATTATAAAGTCTGTTTTCTTTTTTTGCTTTTTTAATGTGTCTTCAGAATTGAAACAATTTATTCTAATATGCTAAATAATGTTTTCAGATTCAGTAATTTATATATAAGCAAAGTTTGAATTAATTAATCAGATCTAAAAATAGATTATTTCTAGGCAAATCAGCCACTGAGAAATCAAGGGGTGAAAAATCTTACCTGAAATCTGTTTTTAGTACATATTTATGTTTGTTGTTGTTGTTATGTGCCATCAAGTCAGACCTGACTCATAGCTACCCCTCCTTGGGTTGCCGAGGCAGTATCACTGCAGAAGTAGGTGTTTAGTTATCATTTTTTTAGTAGGAAAATACTTATTTTCAAGTAAGTGCCAGAAAATTACAGAGACAAAGAGAGAAAATTGATAAATTTCTGAATGTTATGTTGAAAAGGAACATTAGAGTAATCTAATTTAGTAACTGTTTTTATAGATGAGGAAATGAGACCTGAGAAGTAAAATCACATTTCCAGTCATTAACTGAGCCAATGAGTCGGGGTCAACTCAACGGCACATAACAACATAACAACAACTGAGCCAAAACAGTACCTTAATTTCCTTGTCTCCCACTGTAAGGCTTGACCCAATACAACTACTCCTCACTTATTGACTATCTAATTATCTGACATTTTGCATTTACTACAATAGTAAAAAATCTGCTTTCCAACTATTTTGTGCATTAAGGAGGCAGTGGGTATGGTGGCGATGGCTACAGAGTATCCCTTCCCTCAAGTAGAGTCTCCAAGTGGCCTCTGGAAAGCTGGGCTCTACTCCCTGTGCCCTCTGCCCCTTCCTGTTGGTGTTTAGCAGCCACATGAGGCTGGACTCCTCTGTGGCCATGGCCTCCAGGCAGATACACAGGTAGCACTGAGCCAGTGGACCCCTGTTCTGTTTGAGCAGCCTAAGGCCCTGCTGCTCAAAAATGCTGTGAACTGTATTGGGAGGAAAGAAAGCATTGGAGAGGGTGTTTGGAAGAAATGCCAATTTTCCTGTAATGACCTGGTCTTTGGAACCTAACCATGTCGATAAGTGAGGAGTTGATGTATAACAACACTATGTCACTCAGTGTTCTTCATTAGCTGTCTAACACTGTCCCTGATCCATCATCAACTACATGAAACCAAACAATGGAGCACTACTATATGTATTATGTATCTCTCCCTCTCTTTTTCTCTCTTCATATATATATATATATATATATATATATATATATATATATATAATA